AAAAAATATATATATATAAAATAAAAAACACACACACACACACTATTGTAGAAGACAGTCTCATAACAAGCAACCAATAGTCATATATCCAAGTATTAATTCTCGTTGAATACTTGAATTAAAGTGCAGCTTAATTTATATGACTGACAGTTACTCTACCTGGAAGATCATTTAAATGCAATCCACTAGGGGCAGGTACACTTGTATCATTATTATTATGGGAATTCAAAAGTGATAGGGAAGAATTATCAGGGAACTGCAGTCCCTTCCAAAGTTCTGAACAATTGGTTTTCCAAAAGCCAATCCTGTCATCCTCCCGATCATAAGTTACTAAGGTGTTGCGGACAACAACTCCTGCCAAACAAATAAAAGTTGAAAGAGATAACTAAAACATTTGAGCAAAAGGAAAAGGGATTTTGAGTGCAAACTGGTTCAGATAGATGTCAGTAACATTTCTTATAAGAATGATAAACAATATGACACACAAATACATGCATGAATGTGTGCATCTGCACACACACAGAAACAGAGGCTTGCGTCACCCATGATGTGCATACCTCCTAAAAGGGTAGTAGTTGAATCAGCACTTTGGAAAATTCCCAAGCAATATGCCCCACTAACCTTTGGGTGCTGTACAGTATGCCATCAAGAGGCAAAGAAAGGGGAAAAAAAACCACGTCAAGTGAAAATAAATGCTGCAAGAAAATCCTATGACTACTTTAAATTAGCATTGCCAATGACTGGAAGCTTATTTTTATCTTCAAGGGAAGAAGTTCTAGGAAGACAAATTACACGAAACAAGTAGTTCTCTGGAGACAGCGAGAGCCTTTGTCTGTTGCTAAATACCATATCAACAGCTGGGAAGATGTTTGATAGCTGAGTGACATCCCTAGATCACATGTCAAAAGAAACCATTAGGTTATAGTACTAAGGCACACAATAAGCAGAGATATTTATAAATGGAAGCTACCTTCCAGCACCAGAAAAACAGATATCAACATAATTTGGGTCAGGGCCATGAATACTTTTGAGAAAATGAACTTCCCTCATGATCTGCATTAATATACATAATATTTCAAAACAATAGTTGAAGTACTTGATTTTGCAGGTTGAAGCAAATAAACATAGATGGCAACATCTCCAAGTTCTTTGGAAGTAAGAAAGCAGTTTTCCTATTTATTTCTTTAACTAATATCAATAATGTAGTAACCCTGTATGCAATCTCCAAATCTGTAAGTTTCTGACATTTTCTTATAAAGGCTACCACTATTAGCGGCTAAAGGACTTTCATTAGTCTGTTAAGGCTCATCTATAAGCTGCAAAGCACATCCGTGATCCATCTAAGCAACAGAATTAAATTGAGAAGTTAGACTAACTTAATCATTTTTCCCCTCTGCAAATAAAAACGTAAAGCACCAAAAGTAAAATTAGAAACAGTGTAATGATCATGCAAAATAAAAGGGGAACTAGACATTGAGAGTAGACTAAATTAAGAAACCAAGAAACTCAAAACCACAAATCTTACAGCATCCTTAAATGCAACAAAAGCATCCCTTGGGAGGTAGGCATATGTGGTTCCACTGTCCAAGACTGTTTCATGGTTTCCATTGAAGACCCCTGAGTTTAACTTCAGTGGCTTTCCAGCAACATGAATTTCCTTCAGCTCAATGTTGTAATATCGGCTGTTAACAGCCAAAAACTACAGTGAATGTGTGAGAAGAACGAGATGCATTCTTTAGAAAACGCATCGACATAGAATATGTAACGAAAGGAGAATACCTGCGGAAAGGGTCTGAATTTGAGAATACCATATCAGGGGGGGGAGAAATTCTACCAAGAACCATGGCCCCTCCACCAACATCCATCCCACCATAACATAAAGAAAAAGTATTATTAATAACATCCTTTTCAACAAGTTGATCTACAATACTAAGCCGCCCACGACCCAAACCCATTATGCCATCAGCACGCTGGCTGTAAAGACCACCAGTTTCAATATTTTCACAACCAAAAACAGCACGCTGGGGTGCAAGTTCACTTTCATTTCCAAATGAGACAATATCCTCACCGAGCACCCCACTACTGGAGCTCATCTCAGCATACTGTCTGTCATAGGTACATTGCCTTTGCTCAGCATCACAGTCACAGGTGGGATTGCATTTTACAGGCTCATAAGTGCTGGACAAATCTGGTTGGAACCTCGGATCCTGAATATAAACAATCATTATCACTGAAACAAGCTTTCAGGAAGAAACAAAATCTATTCCCAACCATTTTCTTATGAGGACGCTGCTACTTCCTGATTTAGTTGCAGTACATCTAAGAAATCAATACAGAAGAAGTAAGAATTAAGCATATCCCTGTTAAGTGGATCAATTCCCAGCTCCAATTTATAGGAAAACTATCCTCTAAAATTAAATTCCTGGATAATCACAATACCAGAATCTGAACTAGAAAAACTTTATAACATAGAAGAAAGGAAGCCGAACCTGATGCTTGCCGCACTGCTTACAGCTAGAGCAAGGAACGTAAGTGACCGTACTCCCCGTGTCAACAATAAGAGCGAATTCCTGCGGTGGTGTTCCAATCCAAAGGCGAGTTGTGTAGTAACTGCGATGAAAAATCCAACCTTTAACGAGTGATTTAAATTCCAAACAAATCAAAGAAACACAGAAATGCAAGGAAATGGAATTCATTAGAAGAGACCCGTTGGAGAGGAGATCATCGTAGAGTCTCATACGAGCGTTAGGGGTTTGAGAGAGCTTGGATTGCAGGAGATGACGGCGGAGACTATCGGCGTGCCGGTGGACGGAATAACTGCGGGACGACATGTGCAAAGGAAAAACCATTGGGCGGCGGAGACTACGTCCTGGAGTGGATAAGGAAGCGCCGAAGGAGAGATCGAGCCAGATTACAGAAGAGAAGATGAGAAGCGACGGAGCGAGGCCATGCCAGGGCGGAGCCATGTTGCTTCTTTCGGTTCCGACGACGGTCAAGTGTCAACGCGAGACCGTTGTCAAGGTCGGAACCATCCTGAAATTAAGAATAGAAATTCCAGCACAATGGTCAGCCAATAAGAGTTTGCCACGTCATGGTTCCAGACAAAGGTAAAATGTACGCGTACTCACACTGGTTTTACCGTTTTAGAATTAAGAGTGTACTCTTGTCTGATCGAAGGATACATAATCAAACGTTGCAGTCTTCGGAAAAATAATAAAGGGGTTTTCTACCATCATTAATTACAATATTTATAATCAATTTTGTATAAAATTTTACCTAAAATTTAAATATAATATAATATAAAATATAAAAATATAATATAATATTTATACTCAAAATTAATAAAAAAATTATAAATTTGATATAAAAATTATATAAAATTAATTAAAAATATCTTAATTAATAAATTTTAACTTATATATGGTATAGGGATTCTCATAAAAAATTTTAATTGAGTGATAAAAATAGCTTCTGTCTTTATACCCACCGTGAAGTTATAAGTCTTCGTAAGTATTTGAAGTGTCTTTTAAATATTAAATATATAAAATTTAATCTTTTTTTATTAATAAAAGAAATAAAAATTTAAAACAACTTAAATTCAAAAACATATAATATAGCAAAACAATATCTAATAACAAATTGTAGCAAATACACATTACTATACATGTTCAACAAGTTCAGTAGTAAATTGTTATTAAAAAAAAAAAAGGTTCAGTGGTAAATTCATAAAAAAAAAAAAGAATAGCATGAACTACCATACATATTCAAATTCAGTTGAGTTATTGAATTGGGTTTAAAAAGACTAAAACTAGAAAAGGAATTAAGCTAAGCAATTTAGGTTTGGTTGAGGTAGCCAATTGATTCAGATAAATAAAAATTTATTAATAATATATTTATGAAAATATACGTGAGTAAATTTATATATATCCTCACGGACCTCCCCAAGGTGAAAAATTTTTTTTCATAAAATTAATGCTTTCATCTTTGTCCCACGAAAAAAAATATTCTTTAAATCTTCATTTTCACGGTGTGGATCTCCACGAAATTTTACAGGTCTCGAAAGAAATTATCATCCCTAATTTGCAACTGCATGCCTTTTCTCAACCAATGAATGTCCTTAAATTCAAACTTGAAAAGTTTAGTACGTCCTACGACTGCACAGGCTCTTATTTATCACTTGTTTGTTAAGTGCAGTTAATATTTTAATAATAATTAAAATTTAAATTATAATATTATTATGTTATAATTTTTTATTTTTTATTTTTAAATTATATCTATGTTTAAAAAAATATATGTTTAAAGACCCAACAAATAAATGAAGGTGGCTCTAGCAATCCCATATGGTTGACAATATATAACAAAAATCTTGATTCGTATCAAGATTTAAGTTTCTAAAAAATAATTATAATATTTTTTTCTTCTCCCAAAATTTCGCTTGTTCAAAAAAAAAAAAAAAAGTGGCCTTAATTCGAAAATCAGTGTTAAGTATGTGTCCAACCTAGTCCCGTTTTGCCTCGCAATACGGTTAACCATTTGATCCTGATTGGTAAATGGTATTAATTTGTCTTAAGATGCGTATTAGGTGATTAACAATTTTAACAATTTAAATTATGAATTTTAAATTTTAAAATAGACGAAGAATAGATAAAAATAAAGAAAGTGTTATTATTTGTTATATAATCTAGCATTTAATTTATGAAAAAAGAGTATTAATTTAATTTGAGTATAAATGAGGGTGACCGATTAGAACGACAACGTATGAGCAAGAAGGAGTGCCCAGAGAGGCCAAATCAATGGAACCATGGAAGACGAGCTGACCTTTAACCTTCTCTTTGTGAAAATTCAATTCGTAGATAATGTTTGTTAAAAGTTAATCCTCGTAACGTAAAAGTAGACTTCTTATTGTTAATATATAGCAATTTCAAACAAATTTTTTACTGTGAATTTTCATAATGTTTGTTAAGTATATTGAGAAAAGAGAAACTCAATAATCTGAGATTAAAAATGTCAAAATGTAGAAATAATGTGAGTTCTAAATATGTCTCAAACATTACGTGATTGTGTGTTTAACGTCCTATGTTTTGATTTTTTTCTTTTCTCAGACATATTTACATATAAAAATGTGAGAAAAATTTTACCCTCTTTAAAAAGAGAATCAATAATTCAGTAAATTAAACAACAATGAAGGACCGAAAGATATTTTAGTCACTGGAATGGTAGATATATGGTATAACAAACAAAAGTGGGAAATTTCTGAAATGTACAGAACAAGAACAACAGGCTGTTGTATCCCCTTCCAGATCCTCTGAGACCAAGCGATTATACATCAAATTCATGTTAGTTTGTAATTCAGATCCCCTTACTTCCTTTTCCAAGATTTCATTGAACCATAGCCAAAAGATTGACTGCATGCTACAAACACAAACACTCATCCTACAAACTGTGTCTAATGAAGTATGTAATAAATTCACAGAACACCTAAAATATCTTTGTAATGAGATTGCAGATCCTTAAAATAGACCAAAAAAAGGATGAAGGACGACACCTAGAGTGGAAAAAAATCCTGGTGAGGATACCTTCTGAAATTTTTGCGATTCATATCAGGGTGTAGAAGCTTTCTCTTCTCAAACCAGGCAAGAACCTTTTTCCCATACATGTTGCTGCGCATCATTGGAAAGTTTTTCCACACAAGATTTAACAAAGCGACATGGACATCACCCTGTTTTTGCAAGGAGAAAGATAAATGTTACAACCAAATAAATTTGAATGTAAATTTCCAATATTAGTTGAAATTAACATGCAAAAAGGTTGGGGAAGAGGTACAAGTTGGCTGACTCTGGGAGTTGGAGAACAGGAGTTTAAGCAATTTGGATGTGGACAAGTCTAAGATCCATAACCAAACATTACTAAATCCCATGGAAGTTGAAACCATTGAAAGCTTAATTGTGTTTTGCAGATTCTGAATCATAGATAAACCCTTTACAAGTTTACCACATCAAAAGAAATGTAAACATAAACATTATAAAAGTGTTACAGTGTGAGAATTTTCTTTACCTTAGACACTCCTAAGGCTGACTGGATGACATAGTTTCCATAAGGATCCAAGAGAAGTATAGAAGCATTTTGATTGTTAAGCAACTCCACTATGATTTTTGTGGCATGCTGTTCTCCAGATTCGATCAAGCACTTCTCCACAACATTGCTTCCGTACTTATTGCAAGAAAGAGACATATAACTCCCTTCAAGCTGTTTCAGAAGTTTACTTGTGATTTCTGGCACTCTAAGGTCTAGTAGATGTTGCAAAACATAGTTGCTAGAGAAAAGAGAAAGAAGGTATAAGCAAATTGAGTTCAGATTCAATGCACTGCATTATCACTATAGAAAGAAAAAGAAAGCTTGCAATGATTAGAAGGCAGGAACTGAAAAATTCTTGAGAAGACAAACAGAAGAACAATAACTCCAAATCACAACCTGTTTAGAGCAGCATAGATAAGGATTTAGATAAACACATACCCATAACAGTCTTCTGCTAGGTGGAATGCATTTGCAATTATCTCTCCAACCAGATGTTCTCTTGTCTCTCCCTTTGCAAACTTGACACATTGCTGCAGTATGCAACATCCACTTTTATCAGTTGCAACTGCTAAACAATTCTCTGCGATCTTATTCAGAAGACGCTGCCAACAAAGACCGTCAGAGAATAACTCATAATACTAGAATTTTCATGAAAGTTTCAATATTTTTTTGCAGATGCAAATGAATGCTTTATCATTGCTGACTAAGCACATACTTATACACAGATGATGAAGCATTTGAATCAAATCATGGTTGATACCAATAAATTTCAATTACTTCTGACACAAACAGAGCCAAAAAATAATCTCAACTCTCAGTACATGCATGCACATTACGATTCTCCAATGAACAAGTTCTCATGACATGGATAATGCTTCTATCTAATTCACAAGAGGAAAAGCCAAGGTGTTGACAATCTTTGTTTACATGAATAACTATGGCAGTTCCCACAGTACAAGGTCCCAAAACTATCAAAAACAAAGTGTAGGTAAAAAATAACATGAAGCTGTTCAAGTTTCACGAACAAACAGAAAAATGTTAGTCAAATTTTCAACAATCAGTGGCAGCACACAATCATTTCCGTGTCTCTCTTTTTAGGCCATTACATCTCAGCCATATAATTCAAAGGGGCCAAGAGGAATGCAGCAATGTAAAGCATTGACATCAATGCAAATCAAGACAAAGATGTGAGAATGACAAAAAAATTGAAAATTAGAGCCAATTCAGTATCATATAACAAAACAATGAATAATCCCTAACTGGCAAAATAGGGTCGGGCTGTTACCTTGTTATCTTCATCTGAGAAATTCTTCAAGAAATGCAGGATCACATGGTGACCATTCATCTCCTTAGTCAATGGAACAGCATGAGGACTTAAAGCCGACATCACCATGGATATTTGTTGTGGGGTGGTAAGTCTATGCAACAATTTCTGTATAGCACGAGTTCTGTGAAGAAGAAAAGGGAAATAATTATCAAAACCAAAACCCTCTTGAATTACTGGCCAATTCAGATTCTAAAAGCTAACAATGTGTAACGGTACATACCCATGCATGTTAACACATATGCTAACAAATTGAAATTCATTCTTGGTGATCATCCGAAGAATCTGAGTCCTCTGTTCATCAGAGCAGGTCTCCACAAGCCTTTGAACCACATAATTCGCAAAAGGGTTCACCATTAATTCCCCCACCGTTTCTATCACCTCAAAGAAAATCGTATCAATTGCCTCTTTTGATGCCCCATCAATAACGTTCTGCAAGAACCTACATCCAAGCTGATCTTTTGCTAAGGCAACAATTTTACCCCTAAGATCTTCCATGGTCAAGCAATTCAGAGCATCCTGGAGCGACTGAGACCTCGTATTGTTGTCATAATGACGAAGATTATCAAAATTGGACCTCACTATGGTTTTGTTTTTAGAAACCAAACTGTTAATCCCTCTAGAAGGAACCCTTGTAGAATCGCCACCCAAGAACCCATGCTGATTCGAATAGGCTAATGCTGAAAACTCATTTAAAAGTGCTGTCCTCCTTGAACCAGATAAGAATTGTTGATACGAATCGGGAACAAATGTATTCCAGCCATCAACATTAGACCCCATAACTTCATCGAGACCATGATTTTGCAACCCAAAACCCCCAGAACTCCCCACACCAATGTTCCTCACACCCAGACCACCCAATCCATCAATGTTGTTCCTTTGCAACAACCCACGACTCACAGTCACAGGCATAAAACGACCTGACTCGTCAACGAACTCACCACCACCAAGACCCGGGTATGAATCCCGGTGACTGCTCTGAGGTGAGACATTGAGGCCAGCGAAGGCAGATTCAAGGGTTTGATCAAAATAGGTATTCTCATAAGGGGTTTGAAGGAAGGTTTCAGACAAGTTCCGGCGTACTGACGGCCGCCAACCAGAGGAGAGATTTTTACCGGCTGAAAAATCCATCGGAGGCAAAAGGGGCGATGTTTGGGAGACGGAGGGATCGGTTACAGACAGCAGCGGCTGCCCCCTATTGAAATAGGATGAAGAAATTAAAGGGTTTTGGGAGTGTAATGAGGTTTTTATGGAGAATTTATTTGAGAAAAAATCGGGATTTTAATTGAGGAAGAAGATACGTAAAGATTTGGTGGAGGACTTGACCAAAGAGTTATAGGAGGAGAGTGAAACTGAGGAGATGAGGTCTGAGGAAGAGTCAGAGAGAGGCTATGGTTGCATGCAATTTATGGAAAAAATTTGTCATGCTGCTGAGCGAGAAAAGCGTGCGTACGCGACGTTGGTTGCCCTCCTAGGCAAAAGTGGGCCTTTTTCCTCGGGACTTCTGTCTTCTCCTGTTTGGTCCTCTCCGCCCTCCACCGGTCCACCCACTTATTCTCAGGCCTTCAACTTCGAGGAAACACATTTCTGAAGTGGTAGGAAATTGTTCACTAAGTTTGGAAAAGCAATTTCTTTTGAATTTTCCTGTTACTGCTTTCATTGGAACTATTGTTACCTTGTAACAGAACATACCAATATAGTACTGCCAAATAAATATTTTCTCCGTCCAATTTTAGGGCATAGGTGGTCTAACAATTCGAATTTAATGAATAACGAGTACTTGACCATAGTTAGCGTATAATAAGTAATAGATTATAAAAAATAATAATAATTGGTATAATTATTTGATTATATAATAGTTAATAGTTATTATTTAATGTTAAATGATTAATAAAGATATGTTTAAAAATAATTAAATATATTTATATATTTTTAATTATTAAAATAATTAATTTTATAAAAATAATGTTAAGAAAATAAACAAATAATAACTTATAAAAGTGTAATTACACACTAATTTTTATTTTTAATAAAGAAAAAATCATATTATTTTTAAATAAAGAGAAAACAAAGTTTAATTAACAAATTTTATTTATTAAGCTAATATAATTTTTTAAGATAAATTAATGTAAAAATAAACATATAATAATCACTTAATATTATTAAAGAAAAAAAAGCTAAAATTAATTAGATAAATATTAATTAAAAAT